GACGTCTCAGCGGCGGTGGCTCCGGTGGTAGAGCAGGTTGTTGGTGGTTCAATCTCCTGCACCTCCACAAGACACTGAACCAGAAGCTGCTCCCAGTGGCAGGCAGCAGCTTGCATGGCAGCTCTAATGTCGCCACTGGTGTATGAATGTGTGTGTGAATGAGGAACACATTGTAAAGCGCTTTGGGTAAATATGAGTGCAGATCATTTACCATTTGCATCTCCTAAAGGCTGAGATTACAGTTTGTTCTGAGCGTTTTGCCATCAGGTTTGTTTATTAGCTGCTCTGGAGTTTTCTGTGGCGTCACGTGTTCCAGACACTTTGGACTTCTAGGAGACGTCCTGAAAGTGGTCAGGAAATTTTTCTACACCTGCTTTGTTCTGTAGAGGGTCAGGAAATATGAAAACCACAACGATCACATGACAACAGGACAGATTCTACCTCCTGTTGAAGATCATGGAGTACAACCGAAAGCTACAGAACAGCTAATAAATAGACCTTCTTATGGGACTGTTTGTTTTTTCAACTATGGTTCCAAGATGGGCTGCAAGGTGGTTAGCACCGTTGCCTCGCAGCTAGAAGGTCGCTGGGATCTTCCTGCGTGGAGTCTCCATGTTCTCCCCGTGCAGCGTGGGTTCTCTCCGGGTTCTCCGGCTTCCTCCCACAGTCCACAAACATGCTGAGGTTAATTGGTGATTGGAAATTGTCCGTAGGTGTGAATGTGAGTGTGCTTGGTTGTCTGTCTCTAAGTGTAGCCCTGTGATAGACTGGTTACCTGTCCAGGTGAACCTGCCTTCACCCTGAGTCAGCTGGGATAGACTCCAGCCCCCCATGACCCTAGTGAGGATTCAGGTGTAGAGATGATGGATGGATGTTGTGAAGAATGAAACCCAAATAAAGTTTGAAGGAAAACAAACTATTCTGATGCACAGATTAGATTAGAAAAAAAATTCCATTTCATTTGTAGTTTATGACAGCGATGGAAAAAAGAATAATACACTCGACTTTGGGTCAGTTTTATTATTTTATTGATCTAATCATGTTGCGTTTTTCAATTAATTCTATTTAAAACAGTCAAAAAGGTCACAAAATAATAAAATCAGTCTAGACAAAGCGAACAAAAGTTCTCAATTTATTCATCCTTTGTTGTGAAATACTTTGAAAACTTATTTAAAAATGTTTTTTAAACCGTGACGTGAGATTTTTCACCAGAAATATATTTTGTTTCAGTCCAATCTGAAGTTTATGACGCATTTTGCACTTAAAGGCCGACAAAGTTTGGTTTTGTCTCTGATGTGGGTTGAGATTTTCCAGATGTCTAATTTTAAAATCAGGTAACTGCATATCTATAATGTTTCTATATATTTAATTATACTCAGGTTGATCTGAGCTGTAGGATCAGCATCAGATCGGCTCATTTACGAAAACAAAGTTTCCCGATTTAAAGCGAGCAAACAGTGGAGCGATGACAAAGTGCTTCATCCACTCCCGGCTGCTTGAAATCGCTGTTTACTGTTGCAAAGCCGCGGCTCCAAGCTTGTACAGATCTCAGATAATAGAGCCCAAACCAAAGGGGAGACAACCTCACCTCGCTTCTGCTCTCTTGTTTGCAGCTATTGTCCTGTTTGTAAGAAAATCAAGTTACAATCTCTCAGATACATCCATCACCTCCCCTCTCTGGCTGGCGTTGGAAGCGTGAGGAGAGTCTGCGGGGATCTTGAAGAAATCTTTTGGTCTTCTGCTTACAGCGTCTTGAAGAGACATCAAGAGGAGCTCCATTGATTTTTTTTTTTTCCCCTCTTTTGGCTTCTCCTAAATGTCTGTACAGAGAGCTAGCAGGGGGTCCTCCCTGTAGGTGCTGTTTCAATAGTGCCACTCAAAACGGAGCGGGTCAAAACAGATCGGGGGGAGGAGAGGAACAAACCCAGAAAGTTTACAGCAACTTTTTTTTTTTCCCCTTTTCTCTTTCTTGAGATGTTTTCGGAGCCGGACGAGTTTGCTGTGTTAGTCAGAGTTTTCCACAAAGGCCTTGCCAGCATTTTTCTGCTGACGGCGGCTCTCGGAAGTGAGAATGAAAGGAAGGTTTTAGCGTTGTTTCTCTTTGCAAAGTAGTTCATTAGCTCAGACCCGACACTCTGTGGAGGTCCTCTGCTTCCTTCAGGACGTGGTTGAAGTCGTGTTTTGTTTTCAGACTTATTAGTGTTTTGATTATTTAGCATCCATGCACAAAAGCCGTATGATTTTACAGAATATTAACATGTTCTTACTCAGGCAGCTGTGTCATACTACAATAGATTTAAATTGCTAGTGTGCAGGTTAACACAATGTAAAGGAGATTTGATTTCCAGACATTTTGGCTGAAAAGGAAAAACTTCCATAAATCGAAATATAAGCAAAACGTCTATAAAATCTATCAGGTTGGTTACTATAAGATATCAGCTGTTTAATCTGTGGGAACTCGTATTTAACCAACATTTCGTGGCAGTTTGATCGATTTTAAATCAGTATCTTCTTCTTAAATCCCACTTTTATAGACTCACTTTTGAGTGATGCTCTCGTTTAGATTTTCTTTTCCCTCTCATATCGGTACTGCCTGCTGTATTTCTCTCTTTTCTCTTTCTTCATCTACTTTTATCTTTTATCTTCATCCCCTCTGTCATGTTGTCTTTTTAATCAGTTGTACTATAATACACCTTCCAGTAGTGACCTTTTCCATTTTTATTGTGCATATTTTTATATTTTTGAGCATTCGCCTGCATTTTTCATACATGTTGTTGTTTTCCTGTTAGTTGTATTTCTTTATTATGTAAAAGCAGAATTCTGTTCTTAGAAGACGTCGTACAAATAAGGTTTGAGAATCTGACTCCGTTTACAGCTGCTGCTAACATCTGTATCCGGATACGCCTGATGCTCAGAAAAACAGTCCTGTTATAAGTAACCTGGCATTACTTTTTAAGATAGTTCAACAGGTGAGTAAATGCATTTTGTAGATTCAGAGGAAAGTGATTTAAAATCTTTTATAAAAAAAAAATAGAAGCAGGATTTTTTTTTGGTGGACAGTGACAACATTCATTACAGGCAGTCGGAGGTCAAAGACAGAAATCTGTTTTCTTTAAAAGTGTCTCAAATGTTTTCTCTTGCAAACCTCCTGTGCTTTGAACCATCACCTTGCTGGACTGATGTACAGGTGTGCTCTGGGATTCCTTTGCTGCTGCTGCTGGGTGTGTTTACAGGTGCAACAGCCTATAAAGGTGAATCAGATAAATATATAAAGAACATAAATAAATATATGTGTGTATATATATATATATTGCACAATAACAGTAGCAGCACGGTGCAATATTAGTAATAACAATAACTTACTGTACGATTGTATAATGTCTGTAATAGAAAGAAGGTGGTAATAATAATAATAATAATAATAACAGGTATTTTCCATTTATTTTATTGCTCGACTGTCTGTCATTTTTAAAGAAACTGGAGGAGAACCTGCAAACATGAAAGCGTGTGTTTTCACTTAAGTCGTGACATTTTCTCGACCCAAACCGAACCAGTGAGTCCAAATAATGCTCCAACCCGGGACAAGATCCTCCTGGTCAAAGTCGCATCACTTCCAATCAGAGCCAATGAAATGGACAAACCAGGTGGATAAGTAGGAAAACATTGCAGGACAGAAACGAGGCGTGAAGTAATTCAAAATGTAAAAGCAGTTTGTGCACCAGAGAGTACTGACAGGACACTTCTTGCACATCTTTCTTGTTTATGATTGTTTTAAAAAATGAGTGACGTCTAACAGAATTTGTCTTTTAAAAAAATCCAGTTTTAGTCTGAAAGCTTCGACCAGTGAGCTCCGTAAAACACACCTGATCACACTTCAGACTGTTGAGATGACGTCTGCATCACGGATCAGGTGGAGACGCCAGTCTGACCACCTCCATGTAGCTACAGATGTTTTTAACTTCCCATTAACCTGCGTTTTGTCCTGATCCAGATGCAGATGACACATAAACAATAGGTGTCAATGGGCTCTTCTAATTGTGAAGGAATTCTCCGTCTATTAGCCGACGACATCGTATGGATTAAGTGTATGGATTTATTTATAATTTATTCTGTACGATCACACCTAAACACCACCTAACAGTCTACCCACACCGAGCTGGTGTTAATCTAGTGCTGAGGGGAGTCGCACCACAATAACGTATGTAACAAGAACGCCTTAACGCCAAGAGCTCCAATATGGCCGCACCTTGTTTCCCCCCAGGTCAGGAGGGTGGGGAGGCGGAGTGGTGGGGAACACAGAACGGGTGAGAGGAAGGTGGAGAGCAACGTATAGAGAGAGAGGAGAGTGAAAACAAGTCGGTTGCCGGGGTGTCGGCAGCATCCTGTAGGTTAGTTGGGAGCTGTGATTACTCACAATGTGTGTTTAATTAATTAGCCCGTGTGGAGACAGCGTGCTGTTCATCAGGGTTTCTGTCAATACCTCTCCATCCCAGGCGCAGCCTCGCTGCCACCTCCAGCACACAGCTCCTTTCATCTTATAGGAACACAAACAAGGGACAGGCAAGGTGTAGCTGCTCTGTTGGAGAAGTTGGGTGCGTTGGTTAATGAGGAAGAGGCTGCGCTGGATGTGAAAGAAAAGTCTGAATGTTAATGATTATATTTCTTTTCTGAGCGTGAAGTGCCTCCACATATTAGCATCTTCAAATATCAGATGGATGTAGATTTAATTCTATGTTCAATGACACATTTTTAAGCACAACTATGAGACGCTGGAGGACGGGAACGCCGCGAACGTTGAATATTCAGAATTTTTCTCTACTTTATTGCATCCACTCCAGGGTGTAAGAGGCCAGACCTGCAGGTTTTCAGTCTGAGAGGATGAGATTCACTGGCAGTCTAATTGGAAGCAGATAAAGTCTACGACAGAACAGGCTGAAATAAAAACTTAAACCCTACACACATCGTCGGCGCCTTCATTAACGGTTTGTTCTCTCTTTCAGGATGCCTCCATCGCACATCGCTTCCACGTGATGAGAGAAAAGCACCCTGAGAAGTTTAACAGCAGGTATGTTTCTCTGAGCTGCCCACTGAGCTCCATTTGTTTCAGCTCTAACTTCAAGAACAAGAACAACTGAGATTAAACACTTAATGATTTTATTTTTTTAAAGGTGTGAAATTTAGGCTTAAAATCCAACATTTAAAAGAAATAAAACTTTGAAGTGCTGCAGTGGCAGTTAGAGGTAACTCCAGCTCTACCAAAATATTTTCTAAACAGCAAATATTTAAATACGACGTTTAGAAAGACGTGTTTGGTTTTAGTCAAACTGTGTTTAGTGAGCTGTGGACCTGCTGCATCACCGCTCCCTAGTAAAGTGATGAGGTGCTGCTTTGGAAATCAAGATCTGAAGTTGACCCTCTGAAGACTAATTCAGAACAGATTCACGATCTACTAACCCATCATCTAACCATCATGGCAGCCTGCATGTTCTGCTGTATGCCGGTAGGATACGGGCCTCATGATTATATTCTGGTCTAAGCTGAAGCTTACTGGTGTATTTATGCCATGCAGTTACAAAAATGATTTCACAAGACACACATGTGTTGGTCTGCCTGCAGTGATGAACTCCAGCATCTACATTTTTGCAGATGTAAAACACACAAGTTAAAGTTGAAGCAGCAAATTTCCTAAAGCTAACAGGTTTGTACACGTTGAAGCTCCGCGGTTATTAAAACCACTTGGAGCAAATCGTGAAGAGAAATCTCTGAGACATCAAATGACATCAATGTTCCATCCGTAGACTTTGAAACCAACAATGTGCGATGTCCCAGATTTACTGTTTTATAAACCGAGGCCCCACAGGAGGAAGTCCTGCAACAAGGATCAGCAGACCTTTCACTACAGAGATATAGATCTATTATTTTTCAGTACCTGTGCCATCCTTCAGAAACTGTTTTTCTAGCTGCTCTTCGCTGGATGGGCTGCATTTCACTGCTTCTCTCTTTAAAATTCCCCAGAGGTGTTGCACTGGATTCAGGTGACATGCTTGACCAGGTAGCTCTTGTAGGATTTTGTGCTTTG